GCACGTGCCCACGCCTGCACGCAAGTTACGAACTCGTTGGCGTCATTGAATCTGTGATGGATACCGAGCAAGTCCCCGAATGCTGGTGCCTGGGATGGTATTCCAACCGTCGCTGGTTCGTTGCCGGATTCATCAGCACCAGGCATTCCGCTAGGTGCAGGTGTGTGATCTCCCTCGGGGTGATCATTGCTGTTCGTCTCGTCCATCTTGTTTTAAGTGAGCGCTGACCATTCACCATTCATCCGTACAATCTGCGATATCCGGATGAGTTGTCGTTTAAGTTCGACGATGATACTCCAGGGTACTCCATAAAAACTAAATGGGGTACTCCATAAAAACTAAATGTCCGTTATATTCGATAATCCTACATATGATCCCGAAATTAGGATGATTGCCGGATACAATTTAACCGGACAATGCGCCAGAGGCGCATGCGCCTAAAACGAGAACCCCTCAATTTCGATAAGGATAGAACTGAACCTGTTATCACAGTATCATTAATTAAGTTTACGAGGTACCCTTCCGTTTTTGTCAGCAGTGGCTGAGGGTAATCATTACCCTCAGCCACAATCAACCAGCGTGGATTAGGGCCTAATCCACGCTAGTGATTGCAGACCCCACTTTCACAGTCAAATACCTGTGGTGTATGCCAGCAATCGCCCACGCCTAACCTTGGGTCAGAAGGCCCAGATACCAGCGCATCACGTCGCGATCGACAACTACACGTTTACTGCCACCTGCGCGTGGGTCGTGCGGGAGTTCGGGTCCCTGTGCATCTGTCAAGTATCGCGGATCGTTCGCGACGGGCGAAACCACGACATGGCAAACATTGATAACGCAGCGGCCAACATACGCCGCAACATCAAGGCTCCCCAACAGCCCGAGATCGACTCTCAGCTTGCCGCATGGGTCGTCAATGCCAACGACAAGGGTGCCTCGATCACTGGCCAGGTGATCAAGCGAAAGGGTCAACTGCTCGAACGAGAGCTCAACTTGGATGGCTCAATCCGCTTCTCAAATGGATGGCTGCATCGGTTTCAACAACACAACACGTTCAAGATGTATCGAATGCACGGCGAAGCTGCGTCCGCCAACAGCGCTGTAGTTCAGGACGGTCGGACGGCGCTGTGACGGGAGATGGAACTGTACCAGCCACGCGACATCTACAACATGGATGAGACGGCGAACTTCTACAATCGACAGTCAAGCTTTACCATCGCGAAGAAGAATACGGCGGGTTCCAAGAAGGACACGGGTCACCTCTCTCTTGCCGTAGCGCCGAATGCTGATGGCTCCTACATGCTGCCACTATTGTTCATTAAGGAGATTTTGCAATCGTCGGTTATTTGTTCGCGTTCAGCTCACGCAACGACAACGGCAGCGGCAACGACAGATATTTTATGATTTCGCAACAGCATATTTCCATCAAAATATACGAATAAAATATCCGGATTAAGGATCAGCATGGGCACACGTCCAAATGAACGAACAGCACTGGTGGTGTCAGTCGAGCCGAGGCTACTGTACTTAAAACAAAGTCACGTCAACGGTAGCGTCGACTGTTGTTACTGCCGTGGAAGCTGTTACAACGTCCTGTTATCCCGGACGTTCGATTTCGCCTGGACACGTTGCACAACAGCTCTCTGTCCGTCGAACGCGCCCTGTGATGAACCGCCTGAAGCTGCACCTAGCCTCTGCACCAGTTCGTATAACACGCTAACGTGAACCACTAGACAATGCTCTTTAGTCCATATTGACTTTGTAATGCACGATACAACATGCTAGTACATAGTAGTCGACAGAGCGCGAACAAAACACACAATAGCGTGGCATAGCTGTCCGTAGTACATAGAAACTCCCTCAGCAAGTCTAACCAACGCCTACCGCGAGCACTCATTCGACTCGAACCACCTAGCTTCTCATTTGTTGTAAAGAGGGAACGCTGACGTCGCCGGTATCCGATCATTGGCGGTGCTGCTCCGCTTACCAGGCGTTGTGGCCACGCCAAGCCGAGACCGTTGTCATGCTGTAGAGGCCTTGTGTATTCTGCTGCGCCGCCTCACATACCCGACCATTTCTTCGTCTTGGTGTCGTGCTCGACACTCATTTTTGGATTGTCGAGCACGTCACAAAGCGCTTTGAAAGTTTATACATGTTGATGCATTGCTAGAGTTTTTTTAACGACAGACTATCGTTCAGCCAGCCATTTTGCAGACATATGCATCAATTGTAGACAGGTTTTGTCGTTCCGGAATTTGATCATAGAGGTTTTTTCGCCTGAGCGGAAAGAGGACGATATCGTTCATTGCGAAATCTCCTTATTGGCAAGGCCATGCGACCATGGTGCTTTGGGTGTCTGTCAATGGCCGATTTGGGCATCATGTACGGCCACAACCGAAAGGCATGGATGACGATTTTCGTTGTTCTCGGAGTGGATCAAGCAACTGAACGATGACATGTGTGCTGCGAAACCGCAAGATCCTTCTCGTTTGGGCCAACGCGTCATCCCACAATGCGGTTGGAGTTGAGCTGACCCATGGTGTGTTCTGATGTTGCCACCGAACACGACGACTGTTGCAAATTTGCCATTCGCAGAACCCCTAACCCCTCCCAAGAAGGTATCCAAGTGTTAGATTAGGTTGGATATCCTGGGTGTGATCCTATTCGCTGGTTAGATTATTGGCTGCCCAGCAGCTGTCTGATTAGGTTAGGGTTAAGCCCCAGTGTCTACTTGCCACTGGGGGGAATTCACTTTGTGATTTGCCTTTGGATCGGACTTTGCAAGGTCCGTCAAGTTGAGACGCAACAAAGAATTCTTCAGTAGCTGCCTGCTACTTGCCGTATGAGTATGGAACAAGGAAGTCTTCCCTTCACGAGCTCGCTGGCTCGTATAACGCGAACACGGTCGATGGAGACGGTAGTGGCCGTGTCATTGCCTCCGCCGAACCAAGCGGAGATGGACGAGCTGCGAATGCAAAGCGTGGAACGTGTGGCGGCGTCGTCATGTCAGTTCAATCAAATGACCTACGAACAGCTTGTTCAGTTTCATGCGCAACAAGAAGCCATGTCGAAACGGTTGGAGGAAGAATCGAACCGTCAACTGATCATGGCCGCAGCGATGGAGAAGAATCGCCTGGAGCAAGAGGCGGTGCAAATCGCGCTGTTGCAGCAACAAGAGTACTTAGTCCGTCAACAAGAAGAACTCAAGCGGGCCATGGCAAACCAGGCCAAGGCCACGGCGTAGCATCAGGAGATGTTACGACAAGCGTCGGACGCGATGCGACAGTAGCACTACACGGTAGAAGAGCTCAGCAAGAAAGTCCGCCGTGACAGCGAACGTTGGGGATTATTCGCTGAAGGAGCCAATTAGCGATCAAGCGTGGTTGGCGAAGCGGCAGCGGCAATTCGACCGTCGCAGTTGAAGGCAACTGTCGAGCGACAGATGACGCGGGAAGCTAACCAGGCGTACAAGTCCGACGTCAAGTCGTTCTGCCGCTGGTTAGTGTCCCTGATGGACAACTTCATGTTGTTCGAGTCGCAATTAGTTGCGATGGATCCAAAGCCGGAGCCGAATCGGCCGCGGCAATATGGCGAAAAACCGCGGCGCCAATTACCACCGAAGAAAGCGGACAGCGGGGCGCCAGCCAGAGCCCCGGCGATGGCCGCTACAAGCGCCCCGTATGCGAGGGGATGTTTAAAGTGTGGTAGTGAAGACTACAAGGTGTTGAAGTGCCCGAAGTGCCAGCCCGGAGAAGCGCAGCGACTCCTGGACCAGCGGTTCAAGAAACCGCATGTCGCTGCTGTGGCTGCGCAGGACAAGAAGACCGACAAGAACAAAGTTTCGGCGCAGCCGTGGCTGCGAACGATGTGGTCGAAGCGCGCGCTCATCGCACCTTGGATTCGACATCAATGGCCTGAAGGCGACGACACTACTCGACAGTGGTGCTGACCAATCGGTGTTGTCGCCGACGTTTCTATCACGTCTGGAAGAAACGGGCAATTTTACGTCGCCGGTGCGACAGTTGGACGACACTATGGAATTGGGCGGGTTCATGGAAGGCATGAAGCTCGATGTGGCCCGCGATATCAAGTTACGTCTGACCTTTGAAACGGCCGAGGGAACGCTGGAGATCGCGAACCTCAAATTTTGGGTGGCGGCGGCGCCACTACAAGACGGCCTGGGCGACCTAATCGTGAGTCGCGACGTGATGGCGAAGCTCGGGTATTGCCCCCGTTCGTTGCTGCTGAATGCGCGGCGAGCGCAGAGCGTGTACGACCTGGACCAGTTGGGCGTCAAGGACACCCCGCTAATGGCCGCCATGAAGGTGGTCGAAGCGATGGAAAAACTGCCATCATCGCCTGAAGAAGCGTCGCTGTATCCCGAGGAAGAACAAGCGTGTTTTCCTCAAGTGACTTCTGATTGGTCGAAAGAAAACGATCAAGCTGTGGTGCGCGCGAAGCTGAAGGACAAGGCCATCGAATGTCGTGTCGCGGGATGCGGCGAGGATTTCGCTACGGCGCTGTGGGCGCTGTTATTGCGCTACGAATACGTTATTCGGTTTCGTTGGGCCGAGATCCGCCGGTGGACGTGGCGCCGCTACGTGTGACGCTCAAAGCTGGCGCTGAACCGGTGCGGTGCAAGGCGCGCCGCTAGTCGAAGGAGCAGCGGGACTTTAAGCACGTTGAAGAGCTACAGGCGGTGGGTTTATGATACCGCAATCCACGGTCAAAATGGTGCTCGGCACCATTAATCGTCAAGAAGCCCGAAGCGAACGATTTACGCTTGACTGTGGGCGTCCGTCCAGTGAACGCACAGACGGAGCGCATCATTTGGCCGATGCCGATGCTGGAGGTGATTTTGGAACACCTCGCAGGTGTTAGCGTGTTCTTTACCCTGGACTTTTTCAAGGGTTATTGGCAGTTTGCACTGGACGAAGCGTCGCGAGAAATGTTTTCGTTTCTGGCGTTGTGACTCAAATTCCTCACGATCATGTGGATCGTGAATTGGATGCGCAAGACCATGAGCCGCTGATGTTTCTGAGCGGCACATTTTCTGGCGCGGCGCAACGATGGGAAATCGTCGAGAAGGAGGCGTTCTCGATCGTGGAGTGTCTGAAGCGTGCAGACTACCTGCTCCATAAGCCCGGTGGATTTGCGTTGTTCACTGACCACGCAAACCTCAAGTTCATTTTCAACCCGGCCAGTGCGAACGCCGCGATCCCGAAGTACACGGTAGCGAAACTCGATCGCTGGGCGCTACTACTCATGGGGTACGATTACACCATTTATGACATCTCTGGTGATGTCAACGTGTGGGCGGATTTGTTGTCCCGATGGGGAACAAATTCCAATCGTATATGCCCCATCGTGCACGTGCCGTTGCAGATTTCGCAGGTGCGAAATGGCGAATTCATTTGGCCAACCATGGCCGAGATCGTGGATGCTCAAGTACAAGCCGTTGGAAACGGAGAATTTCCTGTCGCCGAGCTGGTGGAACAACAGGTGGAAGTGGGCGACAACGACGTGCCCGTGCTCAAGACCGCCACTGGTGCGGTGTGGATTCCGACGTCTGCCAGTGACTTGCAGATGCGATTGTGTGTGGTCGCGCATGTTTGTGTGGGAGGACACCGTGGGATCAAAGCGACGAAGCAGATCTTGGTGGTTTGATTTTGGTGGTCCGACATTGCCTCGGACGTATCGTACTTTGTGGGCCGTTGTTTGCATTGTGCCAGTACGGGTGGTCATGTTTTGCGTCCGTTTGGTGCAACGGCGCATGCCACAAAGCCCAATAAAATCCTTCATTGGGACTTTCTCTACATGGACTGTGGCTACATCCTTGTGGCCAAGGATGATTTTAGCCAGTTCAAGTGGTTGTGGGAATCCGACGTAGCGAACGCGCAAGTTGTGGCGCGTTGTTTGCTGCAGTGTTCAGCGTTTTTGGCATGTGTTATCACTGGGTGAGTGACCTGGTATCCCACTTCAAGAACGAGGTGATTGACGAGCTCGAGCATGTGCTGGGGTCACATCATCATTTTACCACGACCAGATGTACGTGGGCGAACGGAACAGTCGAAAGTGCGATGAAAACGACCCTCAAGGCGTTCCGTGCACTCCTGTCCGAGTGGTTGATGCAGCCTGGCCAGTGGTGGCTAATTGTCCCAGTGGTGATGTTGGTCCTAAACCAATTCTTAGCACTTACCACTCTGGTCCGTATTGATTGTCACATTGTTTTTGACGTGGTGCCATTCGTCTAAATTTAGAGAGATTAGTTTGTAAAATCTGTCGCTATTTTTATAACGAATCCACAAATTAACGAGGTCACTCACAAACTGGTTATCTACGTCTCCAACGGTAAATTCTAACCTATGGTATTGCTAAATGATAGGTTAATATCAAACTTCGTTTTTACGGTTGCTCTTTTGGCACTATCCGGACTTTTTAGAAATTTCGACTCGCAGAATTTCTATTTTCGCGTGACATAGCAAACCCTCCGGATAGTGCAAGAATTTCTATTCTATATCCGTAACTTCGAATTGAAATAGAAATATAAACACCGTTGGAGATGCTCTTAGTACTCCGTACAATCGCCAAAGTGTGGATTATATATTTGCAGGAATACTATATACTTGAAGTACACTACCGTTAGGCTTTGAGTACTCGGAGTAGTTGGCATTTGAACTCGGTGCAATTAATCTCGTGTGGAAAGGCGAGGCCAAACACAACAGACGCTCCTTGGGAAATACTCGTTTTACACTGCAATGTGGGATTTATGGTGATTTCCATAAACCTACGGTAAGAGCTTGTTCCAAGTACTTTTCAAAATGGGCATTATCCAATCAAAACGCTCCCCAACTCATTCCAAAATCCATTTTTCAAAATGGGGTACGTGACCCCATTTCATCCCATTTTGGGCAACTCAGCTGTTTCCCCAATGACTGGCTAATAATGAATGCCTCTATCCAATCATTGATCCCAATCTGATTCCAACTTTTCAATGTGACATGATGGACTCGACCACTGCCGTGTGTGTCGCTGTCGTTGCTGCCTTGGCGCCGCGCATCAACACTAGGCTGTAAAACCAGTTTGCATGATGTATCGTGAGATTAACCACGAGTCACGATAAAACTAGGAATCAAACGAAATCAGACATATTCTTGTCAGTGACGGATGGTCATCACAATAGCAGAAACCTGGATGTGATTTTTACGTGCCAACTGATAATGTAGCCTTCAACTATATTGGTCGATTTTTGAATGATGGCTAAATGACTTGCAAGTCCAGTCATCAGCATGATCATTGTTCTACACACCAATGCTTGACATCACCACTGAGCTGTACGTTGAGATCGCAAGTTTCGTCGATACTGAGCGAACGAGGAGTTTGTCACGAGACGAACGTCTATTGATTCTTCGCATGCATGCACAACTTCGACGTCGTAACGCCGTAGATGTTTCAGAGCAGATTACACAGCTGGTAGGTCGAAGCCTCCATGCTGTAAAGGAAGTCTGGTCGGAATATCTACGAGATAAGACTGTAACTACTGCTCGAGTTGCTGCGAATAGATCTACTGTATACCCCCCGCTTCAGTACCTATGAATGAAATCTGATCACAACCGGGACAGCTCCAAGCGGTACTTTGAAAACTATTCAGGCATGCGCATTGGTCTAAATCCATCACAGGACTTATATTTCATTGGATGAAAATAATTAACGCATGGTGATTGGATATTTCTGTCTATTTAGAGACAACTAGGTACAAGCCCAACCTGAACCATGAAAATTTTCGTCATTGGCCGATATGTTCCATAAATATGTTCAATATGTGACGATGGCTATTGATTCTTCACTGCCTCGACCGGTAATATACTTGGTTGAATGCTATATTCATCATCATTATGCTCGTCATAACGACAGTATACATCACCCTGACGACACCGCCGACGCCAAACCCAAGCACAAAGGACGGCGGTTGTGCTTCATTGCTGCGATCATGGCCGATGGGCGCGAGAACTCCAAGCTGTTAACCTACGAAACATTCGAATGGGGGTCGTAAGCAAACGAAGGACTACCATGGAATGTTTGGCCATGCGTACTTTGTGGCGTGGTTCCAGCGACTGCTTGATGAAGCCGATTCCCTGGGAAAGTCCAATGCTATCATCGTGTTAGACAACGCGAAGTACCACAAGGGCCTACCCGACAACACGCCTAAGGGCTCGTGGACGAAACGAAAAACGGCGGAGGCTTGCGAAGCATATGGAATCGAAATTGAAGTGAAGGAGTTCCGATCGACGCTTTGGGCCAAGCTGAACACGCATATTGCAGCGAACATCGTACCTTTGATCGTGCAGTTGGCCAAGGACCGCGGCCATGAGTTGGTCTTTACGCCTCCGTACCATTGTGACCTGCAACCTATTGAGATGGTTTGGGCGTATGTTAAAGGGGCTGTTGGGCGGCAGTACAATACCTCGACCAAGTTCCCGGACGTTCGCCAGCGGCTGGATCGTGAATTCGCCAGCTTACCGAGCAGCTTAGTTTTCGATTGCATCAAGCATACTGATTGAAAAGTGGTAGAAATGGCAGCCTACCTGAATGCCGTGGACGATGCCGATTATGCCCCTGGGGCCGCATTCTCGTCCGAGAGCGAAAGCGAAAGTGACGCCGACAGTTGCGACGACTGCGATTTTGCTGACTACGATGGTGATGTTTAATGCCTGTAATAGTCAATTGTTCTCAAAATGAATATTGTACTTTGCATAAGCACTCCAGAGGTTGAAGGTCCTGAAATTTGATAGATTATCCGGAAGGTCGCTCGATGCGTTCGACCACTGTAAAACCAAATATCCGGATATTTCCACGTCGGACACTATCTACTCAGTAATTATTATGAACACTATCTACTCAGTAATTATTATGAACACTATCTACTCAGTAATTATTATGAACACTATTGCGGATAGCAGTACCTCGATATTGTGAATAGCACAGTTTTTGCTCAAGACGCGAATAACTGATTTTGTGGCCTACTATTGTCGTACCCAGTACCATGTGGTGTTGGCATTGAACGCAAGAGTTGGAACTCAGCCTCTAGCTCGGCTCGGATACACTTTTGCGAACACCTGGGTTTGCTGGGCTGCATTTCCAAAATGGATATTTGACTGTGTTATTGATCAATCAGTATGCATCGTAGTCTAATGATTTATGTCCAATCAATCATGGTCATAGAATGGGTAGAAAATGGGACGAAATATTTTGTCACCCCATTTTTCGTTTTTTTCCATTTCTACTATTAATACCTCTGTCCGTAAATTCTTGCAACAAGCGGGAATAATGATATTCGGAAAAGCTTGCAACAAACTAATCGTAAATTATATTTTGAGTTTGGCATACAAAAACGAACACAATTATATTCAAAGCAGGTTAAACAAATCCAACAGCTCGCCCAATTCAACATCTGCGTGCTCCTTGAGCTCGTTGTTGACAATCAGCATTTCCAACTGAGAGCTGAATTCAGACATCTCCATAGCTTCGGACACTTCCACGGCCAGTTGGTCAAACTTTGCACTGACGTCAGACTCGTCAAGCTGCTGGCAACCGCACTCCACGACCTCATTGTCTACTGCCAGGACCTGGGGCAAAAGCCCACGAGCCAACAGTTTCGCCCTACCGCAATGAGGAATCTTGTAGTTGTTGATTCCTTGAGCGCATATCGTTTCACGCATGCAGGCTTGGAGGGTCAGGAAGTTGTTGTTGAGGGTCTGCATGCAGACCCTCACTGTCAGTCCAGAAAAAAGGGCCACTCAGGTCGGAACCTGAGTGGCCCTTTTTTCTGGACGACACGTCGGAACATGATCGAAGTTTGTTGTCGAGGTCGACGTTGGCACGTTTCCACACGCGCTGCACAGTTCCACGATGTACACCAAAGTCCAATGCAATCTTATTTAGTGCACCACGGATCAACTTCTTGTTGTCCACCAAATGGGCCATGAGCTGCTGGAGAATTTTGGCAAAACGAATGTATTGGTTAATTCTTCCATAACTTTTCCCCCTTGTATCACATTTCAGATATGAAGGTATATGCGAATGTAGGAGAAATCAGTTCATCGGGTGAGGGGTTTTATAATCAATACTCCGGAGTACAACGGGATATTAAAATAGATATCGTTGTTTCAAATTTCGCTCCTGCCATTCATTCTGAGCAAATTAATATACTCAGAACAGCGATATTTAAATAAAAAATAGTTCTGCACTCAGGCCAAAATTTATAATAATACGAGCGGGAGTACTGAAAGTCAAGTACTACCGTAGTGGATTTTCTCCTTGCAAGTTTTTAAAAATTCGAGCTATTTTATTTTCAATACGTGCCAATCCGACCCAAGCAAATGCTTGGATTCCCCATGTCGCGAAGGCACATAAGTCTATGACCATTCATATTTAGCCTTCAAAACTGGGGATTCATCATCTTTAATTCAAGACGAAGCGATTAAGAAAAGAATCAGCTAAATCCGACCAGTACAGTCATCCCCCGATTTTTGCAGCCTGGTATAAACGAATATCCTGTGTAATCCCATCGAATATTTAATTTAACAGGATATTGAAAAATTAATACTGGGAACTCAAATGCGGTACCAGCACCAAGTCATTTCACAATATCACGAGCGTTATCCATTTGCCATGCGAATCCTTGCAAAGTGGTTAACTCTACATACACGATGACATGGCTGTTGGAATAAATTCGAGCACTGGATAACAAGCTAGGACGTTGTTCGATGTTCCTACTGTAAGATTTAGAGTGTACTTGCTTTGAGAAATTGTGCGACCACATTTCACAAAACGTGTAGGGTATTCGGATGATTACGTTTAGGTTTTGCTCATCGAATGTGATTAATATCCTTATCTAGTGTGAAGGTATACTCCTCCAAGACTTCATATAACCCTTGCATATAAGTACCTCCGTAAAACTATATTTGGTAGGGGCTGCAAAAATCGGGGGATGACTGTATTTGAAAACGAAAGATTCGTTTTGCTCAAACGCACGGGTATCCTTGGATTCAAAATATTCGACTTTGATGCACTTCATTTTCAAGATATCCGCTTGTTGCAAGAATTTACGGACAGAGGTAGTACAAGAGACTCGCCGCTCGATGAGAAAGTTGGGTGACTTGTCCCAGCGCTAAATTTATGAAACCGCTCATGGTTGACACAGACCAGTACTGGCTAGATGGAGTTCAAGGGAAACTAGAGGGGAATGCAAAAGTGGAACATCACTGAGCGGCGAAGCTCACGAAGTTATGACGACGGAGCAGAGTACAATTGTAAGCTCTGGGTTACATAAGTACTGTAACGTCGGGGCAGTTTGATGAATGCGACAAGCAAGCAAGCTCAACAACATGCGCGAGGGCCGAAACCGAAATTACCTTATATAAACACAATTCACAGTCTACACATGTACGCTCCACAGACTCTCCAAAGCTCGTTCAACCCGTCTCAATCATGCTATAACGTTTAGTCAATCTGTGGTCGGCCTGTGCAGTCCAAAGCAGCTACCGATGACTTGGTCCTGACCGAGGTACTGAATAAGGTATACTACGTAGTATTTGACATTCTTATCCGGATGACCTGCAACTATCCGTAATGGCTGGGCGTAAAGTGTGCGTGGAATAAAACGAAGAAGCACTCTTGCCTTGCAATCGGACTCCATGCGGCAGTCCGTGCCCGCCGCCACCTGCGCTCCTGATTGGACCAACGACGATGGGCAACAGGGTCAGATGACCACTGACGTCGAGGACGACCAGACAGGGCTGCAAGCGGCGCGCCAGCAGTTCAAGGGCGAGGTGGTCGAGCCGCCCACGTCTCAGCGCGTGAGCGCGAACCCCCTCATTGCAGCGTTCCAGACCAACAACATGGTGCAGCGCATCGTGTCTGGACTTCTCCTCGGTGCAGCAGTCAGCGTGTATTTGGCGCTCGGGCCGGCCGCTGCGCCGATCCATCTCTGTTCGTTTGTCGTGTCTGTGTGCAACTATGAGTACGCGTGGCTGTCTCACCGCATCGCGTATCGCTTCACCGTCACGTACGCGCACCAGTCGCAGGAGGACGACGCGGTCATGGACATCGTGCCGCTGGACGTGACGTCCGTGGCGGCGTCGCGGCTGCCGTTCGGGGCGCGGTATCCCAAGCTTGTGGCCGGGGCCGTGGCATTTTTCGGCACAGGCATCGTGACCACGGCCTTCATCCTGCTGCAAATCCATGTGTTCCACTACGAAACCGTGACGTACATGAGCATCTACCAGACGCCCATCGTGTACACGTGGATCGATTTCATCCTCCTGATTGCCATCTCGACATGGATCACCGTCTACTGCGCCATGCTCACGCCGACGTTCGCGTCCGCCGTCAACCTCGTCATGCAGCAGTGCATGTACTCGCTACCGCTGGTTACGCACTTCACATGCTATCGGTACGACGCCCATTGCTACCAAGTCGGATTCACGAGTGCGCCGAAGGTCAACATTGTCGTGCTCGTGCTCATCAACCGCGTGCCATGGTGGCGCCACGTGTCCAAGACCCAGACCATCGAGGCGGTTCTCCATGTGATTCTGGACGTCGTGGGCTTTGCTTACATCGCCATGCTCATGACCCCCGTGGCGGGCATCCTCATGGAGATCGACGAAGGCGCGCGCATCGCGCTTGGCTTTCTCGCCGTCGTATGGGGCGTCGACACGGGCGCGTACTTCTGCGGCCATCTGCTCAAGTCCATCGGGTACAAGCGGTCGCATTTCCTCGCTCGACACATCAGCCCCAACAAGGACATAGAGGGCAGCATCGGCGGCATCCTCTTGGGGCTGGCCGCCACGCTCATTGTGGACGCGCTCTGGATCAACATGAAGGCCATCTCAGTCAACGACGAACTCCTCGCGAAGCACCGCCGCGAACATGTGTGGCGCATCGTGTTTGCCGTCGTCGGCGGCGCCATCTCGCGGTACGGTGACCTTTTTGCGAGTCTGTTGAAGCGCCTCGCGGGGGTCAAGGACACAGGGACGCTCATCCCGGGCCACGGCGGGCTCCTGGACCGGGTAGATGCGATGCTGTTTCTAGGCGCTGTGTTCGTGTTGTACCATCGCATTGGATCACCGAGCAATTATGATGCAGACATCTCGGACTGGTACCATGACCTGGTCCACCTGCGCAACGATATCTTGGCGGCACAAGGACGAGGATAACTACATCGACCGTGTCCTCGATATTTATGTAGTGTATATATATTGTATAATATATACTCCGAGTATAAATACCGGTATATACAGTCCACGCCATTCATTTAAAACATTTCGTTTTTTACGGATAACTTCGCCAAAAACGATCGGATTAAGCTCAAATTAGCACCAAAATATCGGCCTTGATTGGCCCGATCTAATGGCGCCTCTATCAGGACGAAATAGCCGACAACATGTCCAAGGGACCATCCTTGTCTGCCCGGGAGGGCATTCATCGATGCACTCCGCGGCGAAGGCTTCACCGTCAAGGCGATTGTCGAGAGGCTTGGACGGTCGCGCGGGGTCATCTATAGCTACATACATGACCCAGAGGCCTATGGAACTCGTAGCAAGGGTAGTGTGTCTAAGGTTTTGAATGATAGACTTCGTCGTCGACTTTTGAACCAGGCATCCAAGACAGGATGCTCGTCCCGCATGCTGAAGGCGGCGATTCCGGTTGACCTGAGTCTTTGCACCTATCAACGCATCCTCCAGAAGTGCCAGCACCTCAAGTATGTGAAGCGAAAGCATTCCCCGTGCCTACTTCCCGCCACAAGGTTGCCAGAATGGAGTACGCGACCCGGAATGTCCTGAATCCCCCCAAGTGGAGCCGGATCATTTGGTCCGATGAGAAGAAATTCAACATGGATGGACCAGATAGGTTCCGATATTATTGGCACGACCTACGGCGCGAGAAGGACACGTACTTTACGCGGAACTCTGTTGGTGCCAGTGTCATGGTGTGGGGTGGATTTTGCGGCCGCGGTTGCACCCAGTTGCCATTCTTGGAAGGCCGCCAGAACGCCAATGCCTACCAAGACACACTTGGCAACTATCTCTGTCCGTTTGGGCACCAGCACTATGGCCCTTCGTTCACCTTCATGCAAGATGGCGCAAGCATTTACACGGCTGCAAGGACCAAGGCTTTTCTAGCGGAGCAGTCGGTGACACTTTTCAACCACCCAGCCCTTGCACCCGTCCTCAATCCCATCAAAAACGTTTGGGGGTGGCTGGCGCGCAAGGTCTACCCCAATGGAAAGCAGTACCAAAGCGTTTCCGAGCTTCAGAGCGCGATTTCTGCTGCCTAGGACTCTATTGACCGCCGATACTTGAAAAAGTTGATTAAGTCCATGCCAAAGCGATATTTGCAAGTGGTTACGAAGTACTAGCGTTCTTTATGTTATCTAACAATTGAATCTTGGTAAATTTTTGACGAGTTCAATGTTGTGTTCATAAGTGACTGTCGCATCCCAAAATCAGTTTTCCCGCAATTACTCAGTTAGATCGTGCCAATCAAGGCCGATGTTTTGGTGCTAATTTGAGCTTAATCCGAGTGTTTTTGGCGAAGTTATCCGTAAAATACGAAATGTTTAACTGTAAATGAATGTCGCGGACTGTATGTTGAGAATGCGTGTGGGCGATTGTGTCCGATTGAAGGGAATACGATAATATCAACCCGATATAAGGCAAAATACCCC